TATTAAGAGTCAAAAAAATAATCCAATTTGTCCAGATCCCTCCACTTTCTTCACCATATTCCCCAACCTTGAGGTTGGATAGAAGATAATAGCTGTCCAATATATATAAGCCTTCAACTGAAGAAAAAGATTAAACTAAATACAACTTTATCTCAGTGTTATTAAAGCTAAGGAGTCATCACTCATACTAACAGATAATTTCAGCCTTTATATATACAAACTATGGGAACTTTATACATTAAATGCTTCCGAACCAGAGCTGACCAAACTCTAAAACTCAGACAGTAACCACTGCAGTTACTACACCTTTCAAAGTTGAACAAGCAAAATACATTGTAGTTTTACAATTATTGTTTTTATAATAATTTAGTATAAGCATGAATAACTTTGAATATTAATTACAAAAAGGAGAGAAAGAGAGATTATGCATAGGTTTCTATGTACAGAGGGTTAAAAGGGGGCAAGCAATAGTGTTGAATTAGCTGAACTTTTTGCAATCTAAAGGCAAACACTTAAGAATCATGTATTGTTCAACATTAAAATACATTACTTGGAGTAAATAGGATAGCAAATCAACACTTCTTTGACACTTTCCCTCTAGGTTACATGAGCTAATGGGGGTATGGAACTGAGATATGGATTGCCATTCCCACAAAATAATGAAACCCTAACCTGATCATTATGTTTCCTAAAGGAAAAAGAAAACCTAATCTCCAAATGCAGTCAATGTGTTAGTCAATGTCCAGAAATGGCACATAATGTGGAGTTTTACTATAAATGCTGTAACCAAACACGTTTCCTAACTCTCTTGTTAAATTCATCTTGCTGTCCATGTCCCCCCCACCCCCGCATGTCCTACTTATGTCTAGCAGAGCCATTAGAATTATCAAATCAAAGGTAAGCAAAATATATAAGATCAAAATGCTCATTTTCTTTTCTAATAAATAAATGAAGCTAATAAATAAAGTTAAGGAACAAATCTGCGAACACCTACAGGGAAGCAAAGTTAAAACCAGAAGCCAACATAGGTTTATCAAAAACAGATCATGCCAAACAAATATTGTTGCATTTTTTGACTAAATTAGTGGACCAGAGAAATGTTACAAACACAATATACTTGGACTTTAGTAAGGCATTTGATAAAGTAGATTATAACATACTTGGTAAAGATAGAGATCTACTACTTGATAAGATAGAAAAATGTGGGTTAGACAGCATAATCACCAGATAAATCTGTAACTGGCTGACCAAACACACTCAGCAAGTAGTCTTCAATGGGACTACAGCTACATGGAGAGAAGTATGAGGTGGAGTACCTCAAAGTTCTCTTAGGCCCTTCCTTCCTCTTCAGGGGATAAAAGGTGAGCTCATTAAACTGCACCAAGCTGCGGCATTAGTCAACATGCTGGAAGATAAGCTCAAGATCCAGAAGGATCTTAGCTGTGAACCGAACCCTATCCAACAAAATTAAACTCATTAATGAGAAAAGTAAGGTTTTACACAACGAAAAAGCAAATATACAGGTGTAGAATAGGTGGTACCTGGCTCAACAGCAATAACTGTGAGGGATCTAGGAGTCCTAATGGGCAACTATTTAAATTTAAGCCAGCAGTATGCTGCAACTGCCAAAAAAGTTAACATAGTTCTGTGCTGCATTAATAGGGAGATAGACTCAACATCACATGAAGTATTAGTCCTACTTTATAATGTCTTGATAAGACCACATATTGCATCCAGATTTGGTTGCCACCATATAAAAAAGATGGAGAAAGAGTAGGGAGAAGAGCAACAAATATGATTAGAGAACTGAAGGTGAAAACATATGAAGAGTGGTTTGCAGAAATTGGGTATGTCTAGTTTAGTGAAAAGAAGAACTACAGGTGACATGATAGTAGTTTTCCAATATCTAAATGGCGGCCACAAAGAAGGGGGGGGGTCAACGTATTGTTCAAAGCATCTGAAGGCAGGACAAGAAGCAATGGATGGAAACTAATCAAAGAGAGAAGCAATCTAGAACTAAAGAGAAATTTCCTGACAGCAAGAATAATTAACCAGTGGAATGGCTTTTCAGAAGTTGTGGGTTCTTCACCACTGGAAGTTTTTAAGAAGAGATTGGACAGCCATTTGTATGAAATGGTATAGAGTCTCCTGCTTGAACAGGGGGTTGGACTAGATGACCTCCAAGTTCCTTCCAACTCTATTATTCTGTATTCATAAAATATATCCTCAAAACACAAATAATTTTCCTTCCCACCATTATAGTTTTGACATTTTTATGTTTTACAAGAATGACAGAGGTGGCACAAAGAACAGAAATCAAGCAACCGAAACAAATAACTGCAACTGGAGCAAAAATGATCGGGTAGTGGAGTTCAATTCAGAATCTAGGGTTGATTGTAAGGGAATGAACTGAGTGTGACATGCCGAGCATTCATGAGAAATAATTGCCAAAGCTCAAAGAGAGTACTTTCATATATTGGCAATTCCCGGATAGGAGAACCCAAGTATTTATGACATCTATTGCCCTTTCAAACTTTCTGTTTGCTGTCTGAAACACTAATATAACCCTAATATATCTAGACAGCTATAGACTGTTAAAGATGCCAAGAACATCAGCATGATAAATGTGTGATGGTAAATGGTGGGAGGGCTTCTTTAAATTCCTTAACCATAAATGTGGCTAGATTTCTTATTTTGCTTGACACTAATAAAGAAAAGCCAGATGTTGACATTAATATGTTTAACTCTATTTAACCAATAATCACTGTAAACACTGTTTAGAATGGAAATATGGTTGTGCAATATATCAGGATTAAAGATTCCTGCTGCTTTTCTAATCATTATGTTATTAGCTACTGGAAGTATAAAGCCTTCATATTTTGTTCTAATACCAACGCTGATTTAAATATAGTAGTAAGGAAGTTGATATAGAACACTCTATGACTATATAAAAGGATCCTTTAACTCTCTGAATAAGAAAATGCCATCTGAATGGGTTCCTATTTTTTTCATTAAAGCTTAAAGTTAGCAATCTCTTCCCGATCTTTTTAATATTCTCAACACTAATCTCCTATTTAAATCTTGTCTTCTTTGCTGGTCCTTAGGTCAGGATTATCTTTCTTGATATAACATTTGGCTTTCTGTGTTTTTCCAACTCTGATAATGAAATTCTTTAATTTTCTTACTTTCCAATTTGCTATTTTTTAGTCATGGCAGGGTATTCCATTTAAATATTTCTCCTGTCCCCATTCCTTCTTTGGAATTCTATCAATAATAATTGAAAATCATTATATGTTATAAGATATAAATTGGCAATATGTGTACTATTATTTCAAATTTCAAGATCATTTATTATAGTCTCAGTTTAAAAACATCAATAATGATCCATTTTGGCTGTACATTTAGATGAAATATAACTTGTTCAGTCACCTGAAAGTTTGTTCACTTTCTTTGAAAAAGGGAGGAATGTTTAGTGAAAGAATTTGCCTTTTGTTAAAAACTATGAACAAAGGAAGTGCTATTTTTTTCTTTTTCTAATGGGATAAGATGAGATGTCCAAGTCCTTTGGCTCTTCCCCAGTTATGCTGGAATGAATACTGACAAACAAGGGCTCTGGGTCCCAACCTACTGCTTCCCACAGGTATTTGCCAATAGCAAAAACTGCAAAAAAAAACAACCCACTGACTTGACACTACAGAGACTTGAAGTAAGTGAAAATGGTCTACAATTAAAACCAGTTGTATGTGTTCTATTTCAATTAAAAGAAGAAAAAAACTGAGTTGGCTGGCATTTCCAGAAGTCATACATTCAAATCTCCCCAATATGGACATGAAGGTAAACATCTGAAGACTGACTGAATAGTTGAAAATAAAGATGTTGATTCTTATTGCTCTTTCTTTTGAAATATAACAAATTCCCATCCCTAAGATAAAAGAAAAGAAAGAAACCAGACAAATCAAATCCTGTATAACTCCTGGCTGTAGTTCAGCCTGTCAATGACACTATAGATATATTCTATAGACATTCACCTGGCTGAGAGTCAAACAGGTGCACGGAATGTTAAAAACTGTGTCTTGCCAACTTGAAAGAAAGATGAGGAAAGCAGATCATATGGAACTTTTTACGGGTTAATCATAAATCATACTTTAGGCAAGCAAGTCACTAATAACAAACTACAGAGGATGACAATGGAGGGCTGGGTTGCAATATAACAATAAGATTATTTTCCAAGAGAACATAATTTTTTTTAACAAGAGATCATTTGTTTAGACTTGGTATTGCTGGTGCTCAGCATTATGTCTGTGAAGATTTTCATTCCTTTTTCATTGCTACTATCCTCAACTTATTCCAAGATGGCATTCTATTCTTTAATTTCCTAGCTTCTGAGAGGGATCTTGAACACACGATAAATTCATTTTCTCTGTCTATTAACTGCAGAAGAATAAGTGATCAAAGTATTACAGCTATGGAGTTTTTAACAGTAATGGGTGGGCAAATTTAGGAAGGAAGGAAGGAAAGAAGGAAGGAAAAGGAAGGAGGGAAGGAAGGAAGGAAGGGAGGGAGGGAGGAGGAGGAGGAGGAGGAGGAGGAGGAGGAGGGGAGGAGGAGGAGGAGGAAGAAGAAGAAGAAGAAGAAGAAGAAGAAGAAGAAGAAGAAGAAGA